CAGTTATAGATGTTGGTCACCATCACTGAAACTGTATTTTGTTGCTTCAGCAGTAATGAAGGTAAACCTGCTCCTACAGGAACATCATCTGCTGCTAGACTATATTCACTATAACAACCTGAAAGGTTCATTTATGTTGACTTTTCAACATTTAGTCTAATGTTCACACATAGGGTCCTGTAAATGATCTGTAGAGGTTCTGTGAGGGTTCTGTAATGGTTCTGTAAAGGTTCTGTGAGGGTTCTGTGAGGGTTCTGTAATGGTTCTGTCAGGGTTCTGTAACGGTTCTGTAAAGGTTCTGTGAAGGTTCTGTAAAGGTTCTGTGAGGGTTCTGTAAAGGTTCTGTGAGGGTTCTGTAAAGGTTCTGTGAGGGTTCTGTGAAGGTTCTGTAAAGGTTCTGTGAAGGTTCTGTAAAGGTTCTGTGAGGGTTCTGTAAAGGTTCTGTGAGGGTTCTGTAAAGGGTAGGGTTACAGAACCTACCCTTTAACTTTAAAGTTTCTGTAAAGGTGGAGAAACCTCATGGTGCAGTTCCACTGTACGGCCACCAGGTGTCACCAGCAGTTCATGCTATAGACTCAGCCTGGTCTCTAAATCAACAGAAGCAGGACCAACTTTTAAAGACTCGGGATGGAAAGGTTCTGCTCAGCGTCTGGTGGTTCTGAACCGGCAGGTCAGCTCCTTAGAATCAGATCTGCATTTGAAGACATTTCTACATCTGAGGTTCTAGATTGTTTCTGCTGGACCTGTAGGATGCAGAGATCCAAACAGACAAGTTTCAGTCAGGTTCTGACTTCACCTGGCTGTTGGAACCGTGAGGTCCGATCCGGACGGGACGTCACAGTGCGATGAGGCTGATGGGGCCCCAGCTGGACCGTTACAGGTTTACCTGTTGCTGCTCACCTGGATGCTGAACACTGCAGGGTCCTCCTTCAGCTGGCCAAACTCCAGGTAGCCTTTGTTGGTTCCGTCGCTTGGCAGGAAGTAGAACCGGTCCGGTCGCGCCGGGCTGCCCGGCACGTGCCGGTAAGCCAGGTCCAGCTGGTTGATGTCAGTCTGGAGGAACCTGGGTGGGGAAGGGAGCGGCGCTCCCCTCAGCAGAAGCTTTCCGTACCTGGGCAGCAGCGTGACGACAAAGGTCAGGTTGGAGGCAGCGGTGTCCGGGTCGGAGAGCCACAGAAGGTCAGGGGTCACGGTGGCGACGGAGCCGTCCTGCAGACGAAGGCCGGCGTTGATGCTGAGGGTTGGAGGGATGCGGTCGCTGCGTTCAATGGTGAAGAGGAGCGTGCCGGCGCGGGACGAGGCGCCGTTGGTGACGACAAAGCTGCAGAGAGAAAATAAATCAGGGTTCAGTAACGTGCAGCGCCCTCTGCTGGGTGGATGAACGTAGATCATGAGACCGCTCACAGGTTTGATTCTGCACTCGTTAGGAGAAGGCTTCCTGCGGAGCTCTGCTACGACCCAACGTCTGGTTCTGGTTCTGAGTGAACTCCCAGTAAAACAAGGATGATCAGGACTGGGTCAGAGGAACGCCCGCATAAAAATAGCTGTACATGCTGGTGTGTGTTTGCCCTTACAGCTCCGTGCCAATCTGCCCTTACCCTGCAGCGCGCGCGCGCACACACACACACACACACACACACGCTGCACAGCAGCATCTGGCAGTGGCGGCCATGTTTGCCCAGGGACGGCCGTCTGTCCACGCTCAGTTTGGCCACTCATTCATCATCTGCTGTCACTTGAACACACTGAGGCCCCAGGGTGTTGATGGTCAGGCGACCCGAAACAATCTGCTGAGCCCAGAACCAGCTAACGACTTGACTCACTATTCTAGAACAGCCTGGTCCAGGCCCACTGCGGGTCAGGGACCGGGCCCACTGCGGGTCAGGGACTCGTTGAACTGACGGGTCACTGTGTGTATCTGTCCAAGTCGCTCGTCGTATTTCTGATCAAATTCCAGTGGATGTGAAATGTTTGGTTAATTCCAGAAAACGTTCTGCTGTGGCTGAAACTCTTGATGAAGGGTTAGCCACAGCCTTTTATTAGCCACAGCCTTTTATTGTTCTTGCAGGGCCACACAGAGTCATTCCAAGGGCCACAAGTGGCCCCAGGGCCGCCCTTTGAGCTTCTCTGTTGTCAGCATTAACGTAGAAACAGTCTTGACCCAGAAGCTGATCATGAGTGGGACCAGAGCCCGGCGTGTGGCCCATCCCCCACGGATTGGGTCGGAAGCGTAAAGTTCTGGCCCGGTTCTGATCCGAGCAGCTGCAGCCAGGAATGTGACAGGAACTGGGCCGGCTGGCTGCTCGCCTGCGTTGGCTGAGATCGGCGCTCTGCAGCCAAGCAGGCGGCCGTTCGCGGTGGCGCGGGTCTGGGTGACAAACCCGGACCCGCTCACACCAACCTGCCCCTCCCCCACCCGCTGCTGCCAAGTTGGCTGTAAAAGCAGCGCCCCTCCACCCCCCGCCCCGGCTTGACTCGCTGCCCAGCGGTCCGTCCTAATGTGCTGCAACCGTTTTCAGGGGACAGAATTGTGGAGACAGAGAGGTTCTGATGGGTTCTGGTTGGTTCCGGATCAGCTCAGGTGTTTCTGTAAATGTGTGATCAGAACCAGAACCCGTTCCAGGTGTGTGGCCTCACCTGAACGAGTCGACGTCCGAGTCGTGGTCGTTGCTGTGAGTGTAGCACACTCGGTGCGCCGCCACGTCCAGCTGGGTGAAGCGGGTCAGCGGGCGGCCGGGCCGGCGCACGGCGTGGACCAGGCCGTGTCGGGGCGGGCCGGACACGGCGAACACCAAGTCCTCGGGTCGGCCCGCCGAGTCCAGCGCCAGCAGGACGTCGGTGGTCAGGACGAGCCGCTGCCCCTCCCGCAGACGGACGGGCCGGGTCTGCAGGACGATCTCACCTGGAGGCGTTCAGAGGAAGACCGTCAACAAATGTTTCTACTGAAACCGACCAGAACCAGAACTACTTCAGCAACCTTGTAAACACTAAACACAATAAGAACGCTACGTCAGGAAGGAAACGGTTCTGATAAACACCAAAACGTCTAACGGGTCAAAACAACCAGGAAAACTAAAAACTCAAATGACAAAGTAAAAAATATTCATACAGCACTTTGTTGAAAAAGTGGATCAGAACCAGAATCAAGCCAGAACCTGATCCAACTTCCTGAGCCATTAATCAGTCTAAAAAGTTCTGACCCAGATCTGAGCACCTCCCTGAAGCTCCTGCCTTGCTCAGCAGCGTGCCGGCAGCCGGGTTCTGGGAGCGACCCGTGTTTGTGTTTCGGATCAGCACCCAGAGGAGCTGGGTCCACAGCTGCTGCGCCTCCTTCCCGTTAATTATTCACCGCCTAACGAGGCCCGCCGTTTCTCACCTCGGCTCCTCCAGGACCGCCGGGCCCGGCGCCAGAAGGGCCGGGCCCGGCGGAACCGTGTTCACCCGACTGGTAAAAATGGCAGGAAGGAGGCGCTAAATAATGCAGGACCCGACTGACCCGGGGGGCTGCAGAACCGGGTCGTTGGATATAAAATGGATCTGTTTGTTTTAAACACGGTTGTGAATCAACTGAGTCGGTTCTGGTTCTGGTCCACTGAGGCTGACCTGGGTCCACCGTGCGAATGGAGATCAGGAAGCTCTGAGCTGGAGACTCGTTGTCCTCGTCGCTCAAGATGAAGCGGAAGCTGTCATGACCTCTGAACCCGACGCTGCTGGTTCTGTGATGGTACCACACCCGGTTCATCTCCACCTGTTCCTGAGTGAAGTTCTGACCCGCTTCAAGGTCCGTCCAGCTGGACTCTGTCTGCAGAAACAGAGGCAGAAGCTGAGCGGTGGGACAGTGTCCAGATCAACTCTTCACACCGCGCCGCTCAGCACGGGTCCGTTTGGGTCAGGGAACAGAACCTGGAAACCGTCCAAAGAAAGAGTGGAACTCCAGCTGTTGGACAACAGAGACACTCGTCACCTTCAGCAGAAGTTTTCCAAATCTTGGTGCCGTGTTGATGAAGTAGAACACCTGGTGAGCAGGTGTGTCCAGATCAGCGGCTTCCAGAACCGCACCGGAGATCACTCTGCGCTCCCCAGAGTCCAGGTCCAGTCCGGCGTTCCTGCAACAACAGACAAGTTACAGCCGGTTTGGTCAGCTTCAAACACAACCAACCTGCTACCAGTCAGATGCTCCTAAAACCATCAGTTCTATCCAGTAGAACCAGAACCAGTACTTGTTGTTCAGCTCATTGGTCTGAGTGGTCCAGTTTAGCTCTGTGGGTATTTGTTCCCACTTTGGCTGTAGTTGGGTTCAAAAAGGTTGGCTGCGACCGCCGGCCTGGGGCTGTGACCCGTTCAGTCTGAGGAGCCCAGCCTCCGGTGGGAGCTGACCTGCTTTCGCACTGGCAGGAGGGAAGGTTACGGCGCTCCCAGTCTGTGGCGCTGTCCATTAGACCACTGGGAATGTCCGGAGCGTTCAGCCATCGCCCTGCAGCGTCGCTTACAGCAGTAAAGATGGCCGCCGCAGGGCTCTATTTACAGCAGTAAAGATGGCCGCCGCAGCGCTCTATTTACAGCAGTAAAGATGGCCGCCGCAGTGAGATCTGGGCTGAGGACGCCAACCTGCCACACAATCAAGTCTCTTATTTGGACCAAGCTGAACTGTTTCAAAATGTTTTTTATTTTTATATGCGTCCTTTCCTGATTTCTGAAGGTTTCTGGAACATTTTCAGGATTTCTATGTGGCTAAAACTGCAGATATCTGACCCTTTTGGTACTTCTGGACCAGGTACTGGACCCATTGTTGGACCTGGTTCTGGATCCAGTGTTGCTGGTAGCTGTAGCGGTACGGCAGAAAGCAGAGGTGCTGCTGATGCTGGACGTTTGGAGGCAGGTTGAGGTTTGGGGGGCTCTGACATCAGGAACCATCTGTTTGCTTCTTCATTCGGAAATAAAATCCACGCAGGAGAAGCTGCAGCTCCGTCCTGCAGGAAACCAGGAGAGGAGCAGCTGCCAAGGAGCCGTGTTCTTCTGCCTGACTGGAGGCCACAGCTCCGCTCCTTACTGCCCCCTCCTTACTGCCCCCTCCTTACAGCCCCCTCCAGGCTTCATCTAGACCTGCAGCAACCAAAGGTCAGGTAATGTTCTTCTCCACAGGTGATCAGGTCAGCAGGGCCCGACCCGGCTGGGAGACCTTTGACCCAGGCTCTAACCTGGTCCTTCATGACGCTGAGATTCCAGACGTCCAGCAGTCAGACATCTGGACTGTGAGCCGCTCAGGAATCAGATCCGTGTCCTCTCAGTGTCCCCCCTGTCTCTCAGGACACCCGGCCTCTGTCCCCAGAGGAACGTCCTTCAGACATTTTTCCGTCTGTGATGTTCAGGTCTTCCTGCTGCTGAGGACCAGATGGTCCAAAAACGTGTTTCCATGGTAACGTCCTTCCAGCAGGACAACAGCTTCTGGTTAGACTCTCAGATTAAATGTTTCTAATCTTTATTAATAAGGATCATAAAAAACTGGAGGACTAACTCTGACCTCTGACCTCAGGGTCAGATTTACAGCTTTGATGCGTTTAAGCTTTAAACCACGTGTGTGTGTGTGTGTGTGTGTGTGTGTGCGTTTGTTTGTAATACCTTGTGGGGACCGGAGCCTGGTCCCCACAAGGGGAAACCCTGTTTTTGGGTCAGGGGTCAGAGTTAGGTCGAGGTGTGAATTGAGTTTTGGTTGGTTAGGGTTAGGAAAAGGGTACAGGTGGTTTAGGCTGTAGAAATGAATGGAAGTCAATTGAAAGTCCCCACAAAGATAGCAACACAAACGTGTGTGTGTGTGTGTGTGTGTGTGTGTGTGTGCAGTGATGACTTGATTTACATATTAAAAAAAATAATATTGTAAACCTTTTGCTGACAATTCATAAAAGCAGTGCAGGACAGTTCTGCCCTGAGGGATAATAATAATAATAGTATTAATAATACTAGTAGTAACAGCAGTAATACTAGTAGTAATAATAATACCAGTGGCAATGGTGATAATACAAGTAGTAATAATAGTAATGGTGCTTGCAGTAGTAGCAGTAACACTACTAGTACTGCATTTTTTTATGGAGTGAAAATAGTCTCAAAATATCTGCATGTGTAAAAAGATTTATGTGTGTGTGTAAAAATATCTGTGCGTGTGTAATACTGGATTTGTAAACCTTAAAAATAAAATAAACCTCCTACGCCTATACATGTTGAAAAAGTACACACAAATCACCTGGTACTCACACACCAAACTGCATTTACACACAGATCCGGTTACGAGTGCACAACTATTTCTGAGACTCATTTCACGCTTCCGGGATTTGTGTGCAGATGATGCGTTTACATGCTAGTAAAAGCTGGGACATCTGAGTTTTGCTCTGAGTCTAGTGTTTTTATCCTCTGACGTTTCTCACTGTGCCGAAGTGGCAAATACTTTAGTTCGTGGAAAACGGAATATATCAGCACTTCCTTTTAATATCCTAAAATTATTTACAGACATATTGTGCGTTTTTGAGCGGTACAGGAGACCAAGTGGTCTGAAAAGCGACCACTAGGTGGCGGAATGGGTCACTGGCCGGAAAAATAGCCAGGAAAACCCAGAAGCGAGACGGAGCGTCCCGGTGGTCTGTCCTCTGAAGTAAGTAGGAACTAAACCTGCCCTCCGATTATAATGAGACATGGAGTAATTATAACTGATTTCAGGTTACGTTTGATATGTCTGGTATTTTGATACTCTGCCCTCCTCATGTTTCTGTTAGTGGGAGCTAATGTTTATGTCAGCTATGCTACTTTAGCTGTTGGGAGCTAAGTCCGTGTATTTTTATTGTCTCATTCTGCACAGTTTGAATCTTTAATCCATAAAAAATGATCTCTGTGTGGTTATTACAGTATCTGTTTTGCCCAAAAGGTTCCAATCACATTTCTAAGTCAAGTTGCTGACTGATATTTGTATATATAGTTTGTGAGATATTCTGATTTGCCTTTTACTTTATTCACTAAGTGAATATAATTAAGTGAAATAAATTGCCTTTCGATTCTAGTTTATTGACTTTCTGTGTATAAATAACATTTTATATTTATCTCTATACAGGATGAAACGGCTGACTGATGGATCGGGTCTGGTGTTATTTGACTTTC